GTGGTTGTTGGTGTGGTCCAGCATTTCTGTGTTCTCAAATAATATGCTGTGTCCAGGCTGGTTCATCAGTTGGTCTGCTATGGCTGATTTCTCTGGTTGGAGTAGTCTGCAGTGCCTTTCATGTTCCTTGATTCGTGTTTGAGCAAAGCTGCGTTTGGTGGTCCCTATGTAGACTTGTCCACAGCTGCATGGTATACGGTAGACTCCTGCAGAGGTGAGAGGATTCCTCTTGTCCTTTGCTGAACGTAGCATTTGTTGGATTTTCTTGGTGGGTTTGTAGATTGTTTGTATGTTGTGTTTCCTCATCAGCTTCCCTATGTGGTCAGTGGTTCCCTTGATGTATGGTCAGCTGAAACATTCACACCTAGCTCCAGCAGAGAAAAGCTCTTTGCCCCACCCCAGCCATTCCACAGATATATAAACCCATTGTCCTAATTCCAACAGACCTCACTACCTCTGAGGATGCTTGCCATAGATGCAGGCGAAACGTCAGAAGAAATGCTTCTAGAACATGGCCCTATAGCCCGAAAAAACCCACAAGAACCTAGCTTTAATAATTGTTATGTTTAATTCCATTTTAATGTTTATATTTTGTAGGTTTAAAACTGGATTGTTTTTAAGGTGGTGAACTGCTTTGGGTCTGGATCAAGAAGGAAAAGCAGGGTACAGATAAATATGTTAACAATACAGTAGTCTCACTTATCCAACTTTCACTCATCCAATGTTCTGTATTATCCAACACAGTCTGGCTACCACCCGGATCCACAACTATTTCAATACATTGCAATGTTTTGGTGCCAAATTCGTAAATACAGTAATTACTATGTAATGTTACCATGTATTGAACTGCTTTTTCTGTCGATTTGTTGTAAAACATGATGTTTTGGTGCTTAATTTGTAAAATTAATTAAAATTAATCCCTCCTTATTATCCAACATTTTCGCTTATCCAACGTTCTACTGGCCCGTTTATGTTGGATAAGCGAGACTCTATTTTAATAATAATAATAATAATAATAATAATAATAATAATAATAATAATAATAGTAAAGGTAAAGATTTACCCCTGACATCAAATCTAATCGTGTCCGACTCTGGGGGGTGGTGCACATCTCAATTTCTAAGCTCATTTTCCGGTCCTAATTCAAGGTCCAGGTCATCACCTATAAAGCCCTAAACAGTTTGGGACCTGCCTACCTTTGCGACCGCATTGCTTACCATAAACCCACACGATCCCTTCGATCTTCTGGAGAGGCCCTCCTTTCGCCCCTTCCCCTATCACAGGCTTGGCTAGTGGGTATGAGGGAGAGAGCCTTCTCCATTGTGGCCCCCCGACTTTGGAACTCACTACCAGGTGAGATTAGGCAAGCCCCCACCCTAGCAGCTTTTAAGAAAGAGCTAAAAACTTGGCTTTTCTGATGTGCCTTCGGAGAGTGACCCCCCAACCCATTTTTGTAAGTCTCCACCTACAGTTTGTTTACACGATGCACTTTCCCCTACCTCCAATGAAGTCCATGCCCCACCGCTCCCCTGTCTCAGACTCCTTCTGTTACAAATATACCTTTTACTTCCTATCTCACCCAGGGTTTTTAATGTTTTTAGTATTTTATGTTTTTCATCTGGCCCGCCCTTTGTGACTGTGTTTATTATGTTCTTGCACTGTTTATTTTATTTAGCTGTCCCCTGCCACGCGTTGCTGTGGCCCAGTCTGGTGATCTGGAAAATAAAGTAATGAGAAAGTGTTGGTTTCTAATATATGTAATGTCTTTATGCTTGTGGGTAAACAGTATTTCTTGCTGTTTCTTTGTCAGTGTTGATGTGGAGATTGTCTGGTTTGCCTACTCTGGAACATGCAACATATCATTGTCCTTCTTTCAAATCTATGATACTATATCTGTGTGTGAGAGAATCATATCTATCTATCTATCTATCTATCTATCTGTCTATATCTATGGCTGGATGGCTCTTTGTCAGGAGGACTTTGATTACGTTTTCTTGCCCTAATGAAGGGAGTTGGGTTGGATGGCCTTAAGTATTTTCTGTTGGTCATGGGGGTTCTGTGTGGGAATTTTGCCCCGATTCTGTCGTTTGTGGGGTTCAGAATGCTCTTTGATTGTAGGTGAACTATAAATCCCAATAACTACAAATCCCAAATGTCAAGGTTTATTTCCCCCAAACTCCATCTGTGTTCATATTTGGGCATATGGAATATTCGTGCCAAGTTTGGTCCAGATCCATCATTGTTTGAGTCCACAGTGCTCTCTGGATGTAATTGAACTACAACTCTCAAACTCAAGGTCAATGCCCACCAAACCCTTCCAGTATTTTCTGTTGGTCATGGGAGCTCTGTGTGTGGTGGAGGCTTCTTCTTTGGAAGCTTTTAAACAGAGGCTGGATGGCCATCTGTCGGGGGTGCTTTGAATGTGATTTTCCTGCTTCTAGGCAGGGGGTTGGATTGGATGGCCCATGAGATCTTCTCCAACTCTATGATTTTATCATTCAATTCCATCGTTGATGGAGTTCAGAATGCTCTTTGATTGTAGGTGAACTATAAATCCCAGCAGCTACAACTCCCAAGTGACAAAATCATAATTTTTTGAGTGATGGTCACTCCTTGTGGTGTGAGACGTTTTGTTCCCAAATTTGGTGTGATTGCGTTCATTGGTTCTTTTGTTTTTAAGGTATTTTATTTATTTATCGTGTCATCTGCAACCAGAACACTGTATTATATTTCTAACAGAGAAAAACAAACAAACAGATAAAAAAAACACAGATTTTGCAAACTTAGTGTTGATTAAATGTCCTTTGACCAGTATCTGGCCACTTGGAGTGCCTCTGGTGTTTCTGCAAGAAGGTCCTCCATCGTGCATGTGGCAAGGCTCAGGTTGCATTGCAGCAGGTGGTCAGTCGTTTGCTCTTCTCCGCACTCGCATGCCGAGGATTCCACCTTGTAGCCCCATTTCTTAAGATTGGCTCTGCAT